CTACCAAATACAATCTGTATTGAATATGAAATTATTTTTTAAAAAAATTATTATTATTGTTATCATCGAAATTGATATAAACAGTAACAGTAGTATATTACTCTGTTTGACAGTTATTCTGTTTGACAGTAATATGTTATTTTATCTCACAGTAACATATTACTCTGTTTGATAGTAATATGTTACTCTGACAATATTGTCCAAAGGAAAAATATATATATATATATATATAATTTTGTCTTTGTTCAATTATGTATTTTCTCCTTAGGGAGTTTATGAAACAAAATAAATTGTGCTGTCTTTTTCACCAAATAAGAGTCAAATGGAAAGGTTTTGATTAAATTTTCCAAGTAAATTGGGATATAAATACGAAAAATTATACATTTATGAATTTTATTTTTTAATTATTAATATTAATAAAATTTACCACTTATTTATAATTAATTTTCAAAACTACATCCAAAGTGAAATTTTTACATAAAAATATCTTCTTTTTTTTTTTGGTATTTACACACAAGTCTTAATTTATGAAGTTATAATCCATTAAGTCTTACCTAAAATTTTTTAGTCCTTCAAGTCCCATTAAATTTTTAATAGTCGAAATTGCCCTTTAAATAATGATTGTTCATTATTTATGATTATCTGTAAAGGAATATGATGATTTGACATTTATTTTAATTTTTAAATTTAAAATATCAACTTTCAAATTGAAAAACTAAAAAAAAAAATTATGTGAAAAAAAACTAATATTTTTTTTGACAAAATTGAAAAAACTGAATTATTTTTTTGTGCAAAACTGAAAATTTTGTGCTTATAAAGGAACATAATAATGGAACATTTGTGCAAGACTAATAAGAAAAAAAAACTTTTAAAAATGAAAAAACTGATAATATTCTTAGTTTTAAAACTGAAAAAAAAAATTTGATAATATTCACGATTGTATTGGATATTTGAATCAAACCAATAAGTATAAAGGCAAAAACGTTTTATCACATGCTCTATTTTTTTTTTTCCATCAATTAATCAAATAATTATCTGAAATATTACTATACAAAATTGATAATATTCTTAATTTTAAAAATTAAGAAAAACTGATAATATTCTCAATTTTATTAAGTAAGACTTATTGGTTCAAAAATTTTTAGATAAGACCTGAACTATCATAACATTTGTTAATAGGACTTTTAAATAATTAATTTTTTTTTCCTTCAATTTTTCTCACCAATCTCCGCTTCACCATTGCAAATGTATACAACCACCATATCACCACTACCTCCTTTATTTCATATTCAGATTTGTTTTCTAGTGATAAATTTATTGATCTTTTTTATTCTGTGTATATGGAAGAAGGTGATGAATTCTTATAAATAAGTAATTAGGAAAAATGATATATATTGATGAATAAATTTATAATAGTAAACTTATTAATATAATGAATAAATTTATACCAATAAATTTATTAATAAAAAATTATAAATAAATAAATTTTTAGTTAATAACACTGACCCTTAAAGTTTCCCAAATTATTACCATAAGAAGAAACTATGAAAACAAAATAGCTTTCAAATTTTTATACACCGTAAACTCGGTTCAATATCAAAACAAAATAGCTTTCAAATTTTTTAAATTTGTTAAAATTTCTAATCAAATCTCAACATAAGTAACAAGATTGATCCACATTATATGTAAATCTTAATACTCACGTTATATTTGGTTGAAAGTTTTTTAAAAACAATTAAAAAAATAAATGAAATGTGCATTTTAGCTAATTTCACAATTTTTTTTTATTAATTTCATCTAATTTCACAATTTTTTTCATTTTCTCATCCCAATCCGTCAACCACACGCTGCTTACGCGAAAAAAGAAAAAAAAAAAAGGTTGAGGCTCAGATCTATCAATGAACAGGCGAGAATCCGAAAACGCCATGGCTGCAACAACAATTGCCCGTGAGAGAAAGAAACAAATGGTAACCCATCTCTCTTTATTTCTCACAGAGCCTCAGAGTTACCCGACTCATGTGCTCAGAAGAAAATACAGTACATCGTCACAGCCTCTGAGTGATTCGCCGAAGACAGCGCCTCCGGAGGGTTGAGTTTTTGTGCTGCAATCAACAGCCTCTAACCCTATCGGAAGGACTGTCAAAACATTTTCTTTTTCTTCTTTCATTTCTTTACGCTGTGTTTGGTTGGGTATTTACGGAGGGATTTGAAAATGTAAAGGGAAAACGTTTGTGGTTTAAATAGAATTTCCTGCGAGACGAAGATGGAGAGGATCCAAACTTCCACTCGCAAACACACACACACAGACAAAAAGAGAGAGAGTGAGTGAGTGAGTGAGTGAGTGAGAGGAGGGCTGTTGATTTGGGAGGTGAAATCATCGGCTCCGATGATCTTTGATCTGATCATCTTTTGTGCTGCGGAGAGGGTCAACCACCCTCATAAACAACCCAATCTCTCTCCTGGGAGCCTCATTCATTCTTTGAGCCTAAACCCAAATTGTCAATGCTATTTATCTGTAGTGCATCATTTAGAGCATCTCCAATCTGAATCAAAGTTTTCATTAAATCTGAGTAAAAAAATAATTTTTTTCTCAATTTGATACCGAGTGTTCCAACAGTTGATTTTTATCAAATTTTTATCAAATCTGTGCCGGGATAACAGGTTGATCGACCGGGTGGTCGATCGGTTAAGCCAAATTTTTTTTTAATTTTTTTTTAATTTTTTTTTTGAACTTTTTGAACCTTTTAGTGGTCGACCAGTAAGGCAAAAAAAATTTTTTTTTTTTTGCCAACTGTTTGACCTTTTTTTTTGGAACTATTTGAACCTTTTGGTGGTCGACCGGTTGGTCTCCCCCAATGGTCATGCACAGTGTTTTGATGAAATGCGGAGTCTGTCCTCATTTTGGTGAAACGTTTGGTAAAATCTCGATTTGATATCAATTTGGTGAAACCGTTGGAGCATAAAAAAGTACTTTTTTCACCAAATTTTAAATTTGATGCCAAATTTGATTCAGGGTTAGAGATGGTCTTAAGATTACTTTTCTAATATTTGACCAGTCAAAACTACCGGCTACATTTGTTGAGTCAAAATCACAAAAATTAAAGGATAAATTAGATTGACATCCTTTGAAATTTCTGTTTAATATATATCTTTTTTCACGTTTAAAAAATTACATTTATCTTCCTGTCGGGTTAAAATAATATTTTAGTTATACATATAAAATAATATTTATATTTTGTTCATGTCATTTCAAAAGAAATAACAATCATATTCTTTGGTTTAACTCACACAAAAAATTAAATTTTTTTATTTTCCGTTTTTTTAATTTTAGTGAATTTTTTAATATTTAAGTAATTTTTTTATTTATTAGATACACCTCATCCATATATACTTAAGAAGTATAATATTTTGTAATTTTTTTTTTAAATTCACCAAATATAAAAAAAAATACAAATTACAAAAATTCAGTAATACTGTAATAAATGTGAATGAAGGTGTTTAGTAATACTGTAATAAATGTAGGTGAATACACGAGAAATGGTGAAAAAAAAAAAATTCTATTCGTATATAAAAATTTATATAAAAAATATCATAAAAATATTATGATAGTGATATTGTAAATATAAATAATATTTATGGATGTGTTGTTTTAAATTGAAAGGTCACCATTAAGCTATCATTGTATTTGAAAATTTTATATAAAATTTATGTTTGTATATCATCATTCAATAAGAATATGTTTAGGTAAAATTTAATGATGAAAAGTTGTATAATGTAATCATGATGATATGAAGAAGAAATGGTAGGGAAAAAAATAACAAAATGGCCATTTAGAAAATTTTAAAGTATGACATCAGCAATCTAGAGGACAATTTGTAATGAGATTACAAATCTCAGGGGAGGGAATGTAATTTTCCAAACATGAGGGAGAATTATATATTAAACAGAAACCTCAAGGGTGTCATTGTAATTTATCCAAAACTAAAATAGCTAACTTGGTAACTAGTTTAATGGAGTTGAAATTTAGTGATTGTTGAAGATGCCAAAATCACTATTTCAGCTAAAAAATAGAAATAGCTAGTTTGTTGGAGATACTCAAAGGTGATGGTTTTGGGGTGAAGGGTATTTTAGACATTGGTGAAGCATATTACTTTCTTTCTCTTTTTTTTTTCTTTTTTTTTTTGGGAAAAATTAGTCTAAGGTCCCTCTCCTATTTTTAGTAATGGAAAAATCCACAATATTATTTTATAATGTCTAAAGTCCCTCAATTTTACACTCATATATCACAGAGAAATTTGACTTTCACAAATCAAATCTCATTTCTCTCTCTCTCTGTGTCTTCCTTATTTCGTCTCTCTCTCTCTCTCTCTCTCTCTCTAAATCCAAACCTCACTTGATCAAATCCCCAAATCTCTCTTCTGAAAACGAATCAGAATCCAAACCCAAACCCAAATTCGAATCCAAATCCAAATTTAGAGTCGAAATTGCAATCGAGTTCATCAACTTCGCGTAATTCTCTCTCTAAATCTGCAAATTCATCAACCTAAATCCGGTGACGCAATCTGATTGTAGTGCCCTAGATTGTTCAGCTCCGGTTGGTTTCGTTGGAGAAGAAACAACTTTTCCGACAAATAATTGACAAAGCAACTTTTCACTTCACTCTTGGTGGAATTGAATCCTTTTTCTATTAAGACAAGTAAGAAACTTTATTTGATTTCTTGCAGCATATACCATTAGACTTTGCAAATAAATATTTTAGTGGGAAGCAGAGTGGTGTCATACTAAGGGTTTCAAATGGGAGAACATTGTCTGCAAAGTTCTATAGTAAGAAACGCAATCCAAAACACAAACTTCGTTGGATTTCATTTGCATTGGACAACAGTATACTAGCGGGTGATGTTTGTGTCTTTGAGCTGATGATGAAGAGCAACATTGAACCACCTTTGCTCAATGTCATGATATTGAGAGCTACAGAAGATTGGAGTGTTTGAGATATCTCAATGCAGGGGCAAGCTGGAAGAGCTGCTGGCGAGAGATTTGAAGGGGGTTGGCAACCGATGTTTTATAGAGGGAGAGCTGCTGGTCCTAGACGAAGTGGTCCAGGCTTGAAGCTGTTTTCCATTTTTGTTGACAACCTCCCGTATGATATGGATCCTAAAGGCATGTTTATTATGTTCTCTAAGTTTGGAGTGGTGAAGCATGCCTACATATCATTTAAGCGCAACAAAGTGGGAACAAGGTTTGGGTTTGTCCGGTACGAGTGTGTAGTGGCAGCAAAGATGGCGATCCAGAAGGCAAATGGGGTCTGGTGTGGCAAGAAACAACTGAAGGTAAAGTTTGCAGACTATGATAATGAGAAGACTTATCAGAGATCGGTGTCTGGAGAAGCTCATGAGAAACGTCTAAGAATGGAAGGCGTAGTAGGGGATGGCGGTAAACCAAATGCATCCAATGTGCCTGTCCGAAAAGGCATTGCGGTGAGTACATGTAGAGGAACAAAATCGTATGCAGATATAGTGAAGGAAGGGGGGGTGAGGCGGATAAGCTGTTAAAAGTGGCAGCTTCAGATAAAGGCAGTGACTGGCTACAGAGTTGTATGGTGGTGCGTATCAAGAGTATGTCGATGCTGGGGGAGATGCAGAGCTTGCTCTGGAATTCCAGTTTACATGAAATCCATTTTCGTTTTGGGGGTGGGAATTTAATTCTTTTAAATTTTCCAACCGAAGAGCTTTTACACCAGAAGTTTAGTTTGGTGGCAGACCTCATTCAAGAGCTCTGTGACGGTGTAAGATTATGGGATGAAGATTTGCCGATGGTGACTTCTAGGCTAGTTTGGTTGCACTGCTATGGTATTCCTTTCCAAGCATGGAACACTAGCACACTTCATAGCATTGGATCTTTATGGGGGGACATCATCAGAGTGGAAGATAACCTGGCGGGATCAACATCATTGAACTGTGGCAAGGTATTGGTTCATACTAGGTCCTTGGAAATAATTAGCTCATCGGTAGAGGTTGAGTGTAAAAAGAGAGGTTTATTGCAAAATTAACCTTGACTTGTGAACCACTATTTGGTCTCCTGAAGAAAGGAAAGAAATTCCAATGGGATGACCGATGCCAGGTTGCTTTTCAGCAGATCAAACAATACCTTCAGAACCCACCCGTGTTGTCACCGCCAGAACCGGGGGAGCCGTTGATTTTGTATCTATCAGTAATCGACACGACAATGGGCTGCATGCTTGTGCAAGAATCTGAGGATAGAGTGGAGAACGCCATCTATTACCTGAGCAAGAAGATGCTAGAATATGAGACCCGTTACACCCCGTTGGAAAAGGCATGCTTGGCCTTGGTACGGGCTACCAGGAAGTTGAGGCACTACCTATTAGCTCACTCTGTAATTCTGGTTTCGAGATTAGATCCCATCAAATATCTCTTCCAGAAACTAGTGCTTACGAGTAGGCCAGCTCGTTGGTTGCTTTTTCTTTCCGAATTTGATTTGAAGTATATGACTCGCAAGTCTATGAAGGGGAGAGCGGTAGCGGAGTTGCTAGTCGACCACCTAGTGGAGGGAGATGAAGCAGTAAAGTATTTGTTCCCAGATGAGGCCATTCTGCAGGTCGAGGAAGAGATTTGGACTATGTACCTTGATAGAGCGTCTAACCAGTATGGTTATGGGATAGGGGGTTGCTGATAGCACCCGACAATTCCCACATACCTTTAGCTTTCAAACTCCAGTTCAAGGTATCAAACAATGAAGCAGAATACAAGGCATGTATTGCTGGCTTAGAAGCCACCCTGGAATTAGGGGCAAAACGGTTGGACGTTATTGGGGACTCAAACCTGGTTGTGTCTCAAGCGAAAGGAGACTGGAAGGTTAAGGAAGAAAGGATGAAAATCTATCACCAAACCCTAGACGTCCTGATTCTCAAGTTTGAGAAGTTAACCTTCACACATTTGTTAAGAGAGAACAACAGGTTCGCTGACGCTTTATCAAACCTATCTTCCATGACAGACATCCCTTTGGGAGTCCAGATGCATCCAATCATTATTAAGCAGAGGTATGTGACGGCCTATGAGCTGATCCCCGAAATAGAAGAAGTACAAGGTCAGAACCACTGTGTAGACGTGCCCCGAGAACTCCCCGGGCTCCGCGTTGCGAGGGCGCGAAATCCGTTTTGTTCTCTAGCTACTACAGTTCGGACTCAATGTCACGGTTCTGAATCTAATCTCACAAAGTGCAATGCGAGACCGATAAATCACCAAAGAGTCCAGATACAGAGTCGCCACATAAATATTTTATTTTGGGGGAATTTAGGAAACCATGACTCGTGCCTAAGGCCACGTGTCCGTCATCACCAAAGTTGCCTCGGCTCGAGAACTTGGGTACGAGAGGGGAAGGTCATGCAATGAGCACCCCCACTCGCCCGATCAAAAGATCGGCCTTTACTAAGCATAATATTTTGTTTTGAAAACACATGTGTTCTTATTCTGGTTATTAACCTAGAATTACTATGTGATGCGCACAGCATACAAGCATAGACTGGATCACCTAATTTGGAACAAAACATTGCATATTCGTTTGTAAAAATGTTTTGAAGTTTGCTACTCGCAAGTAGGCTAAATCACAGATTTTGATGAATTGTTCCAATTCAAGTAATCCACCTTCACCCACAGGCATTCAGATAGTTATATCAAATAGGCAGTTAGCCTCATGGAAAGCATGCTTTCATGGCAATTAACACACATGCAGTATGCTAAAGCATAAACACTCACAGTGTACTCCGAACCAAAACAGAGAACTAGTTAGAAATCATGCAAGATCCTAGTTCATGTTAAGATGGCTAATGCAACACATGCGCGAATGCAACTAAAATGGGCTCGGCTATTCTAGAATGGCATATGAAATGCCACTTGGTACATGTATTCAAATTGGAATTGAAATACAATGCAGTTAGTATGATGCGCCGAGTCCGGTGCATGCAATACAGATGAATAGATGTACACACGCAAGCATAAGGTATGCTAATCGAAATATGCCCTAAAACTAACCATCATAAGCGGTTAAGTAAAAGAGAGAAAGAAATGGGGGTTGGAAGACATGCATCACACACATGCACGCTTATTACAATAGTTGGCCCTCTCAACGGAGGGTCTGAATAAGAAGCTAACTAGCTAATCTAAGCTAATTAAACTAATTATTACATTACAAAATTGAATAACTAGCTACAACTAATTATTACAACATAAATTGAATAGCTAAGCACATTAGCTAATTAAGTACAAACCCAAGAGCTAACTAGCTAATCAAATCAGCTAAGTAAAGCAATAAATCAGGAGCCTCAAAGGGAGAAGAGGGTATGCATGCTCGGTCGCCTCGTTCGGAAATCCAACGCGATGCTCCAACTTGCCTCTGTTTGCAACTGTTCTCAGAACCTTGCACCAAGCTCTAGAAAGCTTCCAACTCACCTTGGGGACCTGTGGGAGGATGGCCGACCACCTAGGAGCGCTTCCAGCCACTAGCCGACCACTTTTTCTTTTGTTGCTACAGACCAGAAAAAGTGGTCAGCTAGTTAGTTTTTCTGGCTGGCCGGCCAGTTTTTGCTACACTTCTCCAGTTTGCGACAACAAAGAGCAAGAAAGGGCATGGCAATGTATTTGCAAGATATGTGTGCACAACCACCCTCCCTATCATTTCATAAGCTCAAGGGAGTGTGGTTCTCGACCCTCGGGCCACCAATTGCGCATTTCAATGCATGATGGCCGAGAGGCAAAGTTGCACAATTCAATGTAAAATGAATGCACAAGTAAACACATAAAGCCTAAAACTCTATCATGCTATGAGCAAGAGCGTGGGCGACCGGGAATTAAGGCACGTTTCATCACTTCAAGTATGAAACGCCCATCATTTCCCATGTTTGGACTAACACCTATTCCAAACACAAATGCAATGCAACTACATGGCATACACAATGCAAAGAATAACATAACATACACAATGCGATGTGACCTAAGCATGTAGACAACATGGCATACACAATGCTAAACGCTAAGAACATGGCATACTCAATGCAAACATGGCATACACAACGTGATGTAACCTAAGCATACACAATGCAAAATATATTGCATACACAATGCGATGAACATGGCATACACAATGCAATGTAATATAAGCATGCAAACAACATGCAATCAAACATGTTCGATGGACTTAAACCAAAATGGACGGACCTCAGCCATGCCCAAAACAATGGCCATAATGATGAAATGAAGACATGAAATGCAAGACGAAGCATACACATGGAATGGCCCATCAACTAGGCCTAAGATCACAACCCTCAAGAGTGCTCAAGGAGTGACAGACATGGGAGTGTAACAACACTATAAGCTCTGAAATTAAGTAAGAAATGATGCCAAATCATTCAAACAACACAACTAAAGCATGCAAGAGGGCCTAAGGCACAAAGCCATTAAAGGGACTACACAAGGGGCATGCAATACATGGAACAAATGATTGAACCAATCATGGCCAGAGCTCAAATAGGTCTAAACAAAGACCAAAACATGCTATATAAATAGTAATATAGATAATATAAATAATAATAATAATGGGTATGGTATTAAAATAATTAATTAATTTTCTGTTAGTATGTGATAATGTGTAATTTAATTAAGAATTAATTAATTTATATAATTATATTAAAATATTGGGTCAAGGGGTAATTATGTTAAATATTTATTTATGATAAGATTGAACCTATATATATTTATGACGAATCTGGAGGGGAAAGAGATGCTCGGCCACGTGTTGGCCAAGGAGTGGCGTCACCTCCCTATAAATAGGGAGAGTGATCAATCTGGAAGAGGGAAAGAAAAGAAAGGAAGAAAAGAACGAGAGAAAGAAGGGAAGGAAAGGAAAGAAAAGAATAAGAGGAAAGAAAGGAAAAAAAAAATAGTTGAAGCTGACAGGGTTTTTGATAGTGGAAAGAAAGAGTAAAGTATTAAAGATAAGGTGAGTTATATTATGCTTTGAGTCACCAAAATATATTTTACGTATGTTTTAACTTACCAAAATCTGTTTTATACAAGTTATGTTTTTAATAAAAGTTATGTTTTATAAAGGTTTCAGTTACGTGGTTTACCTTCTGAATCCTATTTGGTTAAAGGAAATCCATGTATATGTTTGTTTTACTTTTAAAGAATATTTGGCTATGACCTTATATACAATTATATTTTGTAAGTACTACCACGAGAGTCTCACGCCTTGGGGGACTTAAATAACCATCTGTTTGACCACTTTGTGGTCCTTTGTTTGTCATGGATCCATTGATCTCTGTTCTGTGCGGAGCAAAGTGTTGTACAGAGCTAAGTGCTATACTATTATGGGAGCCACCTCTAGAATCCGTATGAGATACCTCTTGAATCCGTACCTCTGTTCTGACTGTTACTTCTGTGACCTCTGTTCTGTTCTGTTCTGTTCAGTACCGTGGTTATGGTTATTTATTTACATAATTTCTGTATTTCAGTTTCTGCCACTTAAATGATTTGTTTAC